CGTGATATCCTTGTGTGTCTTCCACTATGCCTTCCCACCACAGTAGGGCATCATCTTTTAGATGATGGACAGCCAGGTCTTAGTGAAACTCTGTTGGGCACCTTGCTGAGTCAAAGTTTCTGAGCAATTGCCTCCTCCAATTGTCAGCTACAATTGCATCTGCCCCCCGCCGAAGAGTTCCGTCTGCATGTTTTTCATGTGTTTCATCATGTTCTAATACGAGGGTCCTTCTCTGTGCACTCCCACATACAGTGGTGGAGGTGGATGGTTCACGATGTTTCCTGTTGGTGGTTGTGCGGCTCCAACTTCTATTGGACCACCATTCCTTCGCGTTCTACCTTGGTATACCCCTCGGTTCATCTGCAACTTCTCCAAGACAGCAACAATCACCACCACTTGACCATTATTTGGAACCCATCTTGATGTGTCTCTCAACGCTGGCTCTATATCGGTATAACTTCCATTGAAACTTATAGCACATGATTTAGTTTTAGTGGCACGCTGAGATTCTCTTTGGGCGGTGGTCATTGTCGAGGCAGCCTTGGAACGCCATGGTGGCATCCTAGTACAACAAATGGCGTGTCAGATGCTTGTCACAAAAGAGGTCACTAACCTCATCGAGTAAGCGAGGAGCTTCGATCCGAATGGTGCCTTTATATTAATCTTTTGAAAACCTCCCATTTAGTATAACGTTTGAAAACTCTTTTGGAACCCGTATATAAACACTTACGATCTACACCTACCCACGAGGGACAGCACCACATGAGTTTAACCCCCGCTCTGATACCAATTGTAACAACCATGTCCCTAGGATCTTACTTTCAACCATAACAACACTTCTCTCTGATCCAATACTTCATTTATTTCAATCTTAATCGTCTTACAAGTAACTAAACTCAATGAAAACCGAATAACATAACAATAGTTTAAGAATACATAATGAAAACTTTTAAAACAAAACTGAATTTGATGGCACCATCCCGACTCCTACTCCTGCAACTCCTCAATCATACCGGAAATAAGGAGGGTGAGTAATTTGGATTACTCAGTGAGGGTAGGTTCTAGGAACCTACGAACTCATCTCAATTCACATAACTCATCAAGCACAAGTCATAAGTTAACATCACCTAGCATTCATTAACAAGATTCTCTAGACTCTAATCCACGAGTTCTCAAGCTAATCACCCGTACACCTTAGGACCTTACACAACTTCACCATTCTCTACCAATTCGGCACGCCAAACTGGCACTCACCAAACCGACACTCGCTAAACCGTCACGCCAAACTGACACTCGCCAAACTGACACGCCAAACCAGCACTCGCCAAACTGGCACTCGCCAAACCATCACGCCAAACCAACACTCGCCAAACGGGCACTTGCCAAACGGGCACTCGCCAAACGGGCACTCGCCAAACCGGCACGCTAAATCGGCACTTGCGAATCGGCACTTCGTCACACTACGATACAACCTCATATCTCATCGACGACATCATAACTCCCTAGTCTCATCAACATTCAATATTAACCAGAATCATTCTTATCATCATTCATTCTTATTACACATCCGGTTATCCCTTAACATCCTATTATGTTCTAGGTTCTTTTACTCACATCATCAATCAACGCACTTTTCATCACATCAACACAAATGAACAACTAGATCTAGGTTAACATTAACAAAGGAGTAACTCCCTGAGGTATTATAAAACATGAGAGAAGTTCACGACCGGGTCCTCACCTTAGCCTTTCTCGATGTCACAGATTCAGATCCAAAGAAGAAGAACGTAGCTACAGAACCACAGATCTGTACTTTCACGCTCAATGAAAGGTAAGAAAAGAGATAAGGGATCAGATCTATCACACCTAGTGACAAACCATTGAGAGGAGAAGGGGAAACATGAGATCTGAGGCTTACCTTTCAGATCTAAGTAACAAGGAGAACAATGAAGAAGAAAGAGGAAAACCGGCGGTGGTGACTAATCGGAGATGGCAGCGGCTAGGGTTTAGGTTGTTTGACGGCTGATGGCTGTGGGAACTGAAATTCACACTGTCGATTTTCCGTCAAATATGGAAACTTAGGTAAAACCGTAATTCTCCAGAGGTCCTGGATCTGTGCAGAAACACACTAAAACGAAAAAGATGAACTGAATATAGATGAAGAAATTGTGAAAAGGCTATTGTAGATATGAATAAAGAGATTGAAAGCTGTTACAAAGATAATCGTGGAACTTAGACAACAAAACGTTCTAAGAATCCGACTTGCTAGTCTAGCCGCCTAAGTCCTTAATTCTTCTAAGTTAACAGCAGTTTTTCTAGGTCTAAAAAGCTCCGCCTCCTCTTGACTTGGACCTTATGCTTATATACTCCTTCTCTAGGCGGTTGGTCTTTCCTCTTCCGCTCGGATTCGCGCTTATCGGAAATATTCCATTTTCTCGATATTTCCGTTTTTCTTCAGAAAACTTCTATTTTGTCTTTAAACTTGACATTTATTCATTCCTGCAAATAAAGGGTAAACCGTCATCATATCTTTGGGCTAGATCTTGTCTAAAGTCGTGAATGGGCCTTTATCGCGTTTTAGGACTTTCTGAGCCGTTTTGCGATTTAGCCGTTTATGACTTTAGACGAGATCGTTCCATGATACGATGCCGTTTTTATAAAATATCTCGAGTTAATCGTATAGTTTGGAAATATTCGATGTTTCGCTTAACGGTTTCCCTTTTATACGATTTACTCAAGGTTTTACGAAAAAACGAGTCTTTAGCGGTTTTTTATTAAATATCTCGAGTTAATCATATAGTTTGGAAATGTTTAGTGTTTCGTTAACCGTTGCCGTTTTATATGATTTACTCGAGGTTTTACGAGAAAACAAGCCTTTTGCGGTTTTTATCGTAAAACTCCAACGATAAGACGAAACGAGAGATGTTCCGATCACGGTTCAAAGTACGAGCGAGTCGAGGGGCATGGTCAGTTTGGTTTAGCTTGCCTACAGGCGAGCTGGTCAAGCACGGCCAGCTCGCATGTTGATGAGCTGGACGGTTGTTTGGTTTCGATCATTTTTTTTCATTTTCTTCGATCCGAGATCATTTCGGAGAATATGAGGAGAAGTAATCGTAATCGATGATTCTGAGGTTACCGTTTTTTACCCCAACAATGGCTCGGGATCTCTGCAGAGCTTCTATTCTCTCTGCAGAGAAAAAGAGGAGGAGGCACCTTCTTTTATAGAAAAAAAAAGAAAAAAAAACTCTAGAATTATTAATTATTAAGCTTTCTGTTTTTAAAACAAAAGAAATTTGCAGGCCTGGTAGTGAGTTGTTACTGCATTACACACTTTGTTGAAGCTATCGTCGTAACCATAATCCACGTAACAAAGTTAAATATTGGTTTTTGTGCTCCGATTTTTTATAAAGTTAAATATATAAGTTCAAGTACTCATATGTATTAATAAAATACCATTTTTAAAAAAATTGTCTATGGCAGGTACAGAGACTCCAATCCAACGATAGAAACTCGCCTTTGGCAGGCTCAAGCGGCATCTACGAAATGACGAGAGGTCTACCGATTTTTGTTTTGGTTTTAAATTTAAAATATGATCTAATGAGTGGGGTTGATAATGGATGTATCAGTAATCTCTAGGGAGGGTGATAATATATAGAACAACGAATACGTTGCAGTCTATATGAATAAAGGTTGGTCAAATTTTTAAACATCAACAAACAAAGAAAAAAGAAGAAAGACCTTCCTCTAGTAAGACTATCAACAATGGTAAAGCATAGTAAACACCCTAATTTTATTTTGACAATTCCACATCAGCCTTTTCTTTTACACCTATTATTTTATTTTTTATGAAAATAAATTTTGTATATGTTCATATCAAATAAAATAAGTTTATATTTGTAGAGTTTTAAAAATGCAAATTTTGGATATAAAATTAACAAAACAAAAAATAAAGTTTCCTATCAAATATTTGAATTGAAATAGTTGGGGTGAAAAAAAAAATCTGTAACAAATAGAAAATAATATATATATATATATATATATATATATATATATATATATATATATATATATATATGCCACTTTTCATCTTTTTATCTCACTTCTCTTGACTCAACTAGTTGAATTAATTCAATATGGATGAATCCACCTATGCTTTTTATTTTATTCAACTTCTCAATGCAGGACATTCAACTGTTGAATTAATTTTTCAACTGACCATTATAAATGGTCTAAAACGAACTATGTCAACGACGGTTCTGTACACTAATAAATAATGATTGAGATATTGTAACATTATTCGTCGATTTTCAAGATTGGAGACACAAGGGCACACTTGAGTCAAGATTATCTAATTTCAAAGCAATAGAAAAGCGTAGTCAAGTAATATCAATTAAAATAACACCTTTAGTAATTTTTGCGCTTGGTTTAAAAAAGCGCTCGCTTTTGGTGCCATGGTGCTAAGCTAGGTCTAGCGATGTCCTCATCGCCTCATCACCTCAAGGCGTGGCCACTTACACATAGCAAGTGCTTTCTACGATTTCTTAGTAAACCTTAGGCTCCTAAGGCGACACTTTATTGATCTTAAGTCAAACCGAATTGGTTTGCCAAATTTCATCTGTTAAACCGGTTAGATTTATAACATATCATCTTTGGCGTCACATAAAATTCCTTTGCAAATCCTAAGTTAATCTTATATACCGTAACCTAAGTTTAAAGTTAGGGTTCCATGTGCTTTTTTTCTTCTCTCTATTCACGTATTTGATTTTGACGTTTCTCCTCTTCTCTATATGGACTAGTAAGTACTCTATTTTGTACTTTGGTTCTAAACTTCTATTTTATCTATACCTATGTTTTTGCACTATAATTTTTGCTTCACACACAGAGCGCTCGTTTTTTGTTGCCATGGCGCAGCGAGAGACGAGACACTCATCGCCTCACCTCGCAATGTGCCATTTTAAACCAAGTATATGCGGACATCAGGATTTTATTTAAGGGAAAACCTTCTTTTCTTATGCCTTTTGGGTGTTCTCTTGTGAATGCGAACCAAGCTTGGAACATAAGAGATGACAACTGGCCAGTTGAAACTAGATGCCTTTGGAGCATTATCTTCAAAAACTTGTTTAAACATATCCTCTCCAACAATGTAGATTCTCGTCTTATGTTCATCTCTCAATAATGTTATATCACAACATAGTGCCACTTTATTGTCCTCGTCCAACAAGAAGCTGTCCACATCCCATTTAGATTTATCAAAAACCACTTCTAAGACGATATCGCTCCTCCACGAAAAGTCTATGGCCTCCTCCTCATCAACCTTATTTCTCACCCAAATCCTCATCACATTTGACCCTCGACCAATGTGTAATACCGAGAGTTTTTCATCCATAACAACTGAAAGAATTACGGTATTTGTATCTTTAAAACTTTGAGATGGAAGTGGGAGACGCACAAATCTCTCTATTGTGAAATCAAACTTCGTCAAGAATAATAACCCAGTTTCATTATCTCCATCAACAAAATAAGTGTCTCCTTTCAAATACATGGCATAGAAATATACGGCTTAGTCAGTGGTCACTAACCAAGAACCCTCCAAGAATCAGAGCTAAGCTCATAAATCTCACACTTACGACCCCATACTTTCTATTCATTTTCATTAAGAGAAGACCTCAAGATTTTGTAGCTATGGTCAGAAGAAGAAGATTTGATGTATCTTAAAGCATATGTATCATCTATATGGTAACACGTTCTAGGTTTGATGCTCCTCCTTTGACCGGTACATGGATTTAGTAATCTTAGCTAAAAAATCTGAAATCTGATTTTGAGCGCGTGAAACATGAGCAATCTTAAAGTCTGGGAAACATATTTATAGAGTCTCTATCCTCTCTAGTTCTGTTGCAAAGTTTGGCCAAGCATGAGGCTTCTTAGTCATGGCTATCAGCTCCTTACAATCCATCCCAAAGCTCTGGCATGTCGAGTGTTGGAACATACTCTCCATCGCCCATAGCAGTGCTTGTACTTCTGAATGCAAGGTTGATTCGCATCTAATGAAATTTCTCGTACCCATAAGTTGAACCTTCCTAACGCTATCCATCCATACCCATCCACTTCCACTGAACTGTGATGTAGCTGTCCATGATCCACCTATAATGTAGATATTATCCAAGCTTATGACTTGGGGTTCCTCTACGCTATGATTTTGTAGCACTAGTGACACCGTCTCAAACCAGGCTTGACATTCACTCGCAGCATGAGGAACTAGCTCTAATGGATCTCTATCTATTCCTTATATAACTGAAATTACCCTAAGGAGTGAATTACTCTCTCAAATAAGAGGTTCAGTTATAGTACTTAGGGATCGAATCCACAAGGAACTAAGGAACATGAAAGATATAATCCTTAGTGATTATGCTAGGTTGATTAAGTTTAAAAGTTGTGAGCAATGGTGAGTTGCTCAAGAGAATTGGTTTAGGTTTTAAACAGTAAAAGAAAGTAGTTAGATTCAAGGTTGCTAATCAGATAATCATGATTATGATGCTACAGATGTCTTAATAAGTTGCTTGCAAGATATTAAAGAACTTCAACTCTTAGATAAGTCTATTAGCAATCGCTATCTAGACTCGTCCATTGATCTGACTGCCGGCAATATCAACCGATGTTTTGACAGCGATATCGGACGATATAGGTTGCCATAGATCAATTACTCTATAGGAGTATCGATCGATATAGCTTTAAATTGAATTGAATATGTGTTCACCAAGATCATAGACCGGCTCTCGATCGTCCCTAGAGGATCTCAGCTTATGCAAATTGATTTCAGGATGATGATTAACAAGTTAAATCATTCTAGGATCATACTCTAGTTAGCTACTCTAGAGTAAGCATTAGGGTTTATCAGAATAATGAATATCACAACTCAACAATCCATAGTTGGGGATAATCCTTCATAACTATTTGAACCCCAAATATAACAAGTGAATCTACTCAGACATGGCTAAGTGATTCATAACATCAAGGTAATAATAGAAGTTCATAAGATTAGAAGACTGAACACTTGGTTCCTTTGAACAACAAATCTCTTTGTATATTCTTCTAAATCTAGAACTCTATAACCTTTGATGATAATCAGAATAAGATGAAAAGAATACTTTTATAAATGGAAGAAATAAGAGTATTAAAAAGCATAAAAAGCATACATAGAATAAAAGCATACTCTGCCAAAACACATAGGCATAACTATAAATATGAGTTCAATTAGGTTAAAAACTTGTCAGGGGCAATCTTGTAATATTGAGAAAACTTGGGCTTCAAGTCGGCTTGAGTCAAACTTATTCTTAACGCTCGATATTGATCGATGGTACAAGGTGTACATCGATCGATAGAGGATCTCGATTCGTCATCTTCTACGGAAGCATCGTCGATCGATTACACCGGATGTGTATCAATCGATATGTATCTCTGGATATCGACCTTGTTGTCTGATCTTCATAGTTATCTTGGGAAAACTCTCCTTTAAGCTCCATAAGGGCGCCTAAATCATCACGTTACTCCAAAATGCTCCTGAACCTGAAAACATACATAATAGACTCCAAAACATATATATTTATATATGTAAAATCATCTTAATACCATGGTTAAAAGTGGGTCAAAACAATGGTAGGTCAACTCCCCCAGACTTAACCTTTTGCTTGTCCTCAAGCAAACACAATAGTTAGTCTTTGGAAGAAGTTTTAGAAAAAAATAGCAGGGACTCAATCAAATCTTAACTTAAGATCATCACCTCTACTTTGTTGCAAGCCACATCTCATATCTATTAACTACAGAAGTACATTATACCATATCCTAGCTTAGCAACCAAATTCATCTAGGCAATCAACTTAGCAATCCTGTTTGTCTATCCCCTCTACTGATTTCATTTATGCATAAAATAAAAGTGTAAGCTTTATCTTGGGAGTATCGATCAAGGAACACTTGAATTCAACTCAAGCAAGTTTCAGGCATTCTCATTCTGGTTTCTTTTCTCCCTGTATCTCCCTTCTCTGAATCCCCAAATTTTCCTTTTTCTTTTATATCAATCCCAATGAACAACAAATGTTCACCTTATTGATCTTTCTACTTTTTGTAGCCTTTTCTGACAAAGTGTAGTCGAATAGTGGGGTTATGGGTAATTTACCTCTCTCTCGCTTCCACAATGTGTGATCATTCCTTTGAATTAGAATAGTGGGGTCATGGGTAATGTACCTCTCCCTCTGCCTCTCAGGAAATCATCTCAATCTTTTTTTTTTGAATGCCAAAGGAAGGAGAGAAGGAAACCAAAATTATCAAGACTTTTACCTTCCAGAGTTGCAGGAGGATTCCGATCCCTTGTATACCAAGCCCCAAGACAAGCAATAGATGTCAGGTTAGGTTGGAAATCAGCTTTGGTTCTTCCAAACAATCATGAAAAGTGTTGTCATAGGTGACAGGTGATCCACTTTAGCATATATAGTACTTTCTGCAATCAACAATTCTAAGAATGGTGCTAAAGAATGGTTAGATAAAAAGTAAAAATTTTGAAATATCTTTGTCCCCTTCTTGACTCAATAAAACCAATTTTGAAAACATTTAATGAGATCAAAAGGTAAAGTAGCATCAGTGATCTCCACTCCCCCAGACTTAAATCATACAATGTCCTCAGTGTATAACGAGTCGGAGTTAGGGCATAAATAAATAATGTATAACTGATATCAAAAATTGTGAACGATATACCTGACCAGAATTCGTATTGATCGATGGTGAGTCACCTTCGACGATCGTCATGGATAGGTCTATGTCGAGCGATGTCGACATGATCGTATCGGTCGATAGAGGTAGTGATCGTGTAGCATCTCTTCTGAAACTAATAAAACGAAAGTAAAAACTAAAAATAATATAAAACTAAGAAAGTACCTAATAATGGGTTGCCTCCCACTCAGCGCTTAGTTAAAGTCATTTAGCTTGACTATGGAGGTATAGTGGCTAGTGAGGTGAGTTCCAGGTACTTGTTGGGAAACAAGTATCCTCCTTGTCTTGTGATTCTCCAACCCATGAAGTTAAGAAGCTTCTTGTGGCTTCCTCTCTTCTGGTCATACTAGCTTTCAAATCTTGGACCTCATCTTGGATACTTTGTAACCACTCCTCAAGGCTCGCAATGCTGAACTCATGTTGTCCAATCTTGCTGTAGGTTTGTTCTAGATGAATACTCAGCTGCATGGTGTTGAGGTGTTGGATGGTTTTCACACGGGAAGAGGTAGTATTGCCCGGTCCTTGTGGGTCTGTATCAGTCATTTGAAAGGAGGCCTATCGGTCGATGGGCTGAAAGGCACGCCGATCGATGCAGATGGTGCAGATCGGTTTGCGAGCTGTCTCTGAATGTTTTCGATCTCCTTCTGAATTCCTTCTGTTTTGAATTCCAATCCTTAAACGTCACTCTGTACTGGGAACCACATCTTGTTGGGTAGTCTGTATGCTTCGTCTCCACAGGCTTCAATAGCTTTGTAGATATCTCCTGTTATTTCCTCAAGTTCTTCTCTGGAACAGAAGTCTGGTGCTCTAATATCGGTCGATGTGATGGGTAGTTCATCGATCGATAGCGCATGTAGGTGACTCTCGATAAGCTTGTCTATGGTGGTATCCATAGTTCTCCATATGTTGTTCACTCGATGTATGATGCTGTTGCTGAGGTGTAAGCATTTGTCTTCCAAGGCTTTATTGTTTCGTTTGTCTGCGTTTCCCAGATCTATGAAGATGGTGTTTATAAGCTCGTCGATCTCTTGTTTGATGTAAGGGATCGTTGGTGAAGAACTCGTATCAATCGATGTTGTTGTGGCTGTATCAGTCGATATCTGTTTCTGAGATTCCAATTCTTCGCAAAGCGCATTCACTTCTTCTTGCAGGGCGTCCTTCTCTTTGCGAACTAATTCAGTGGCAGTCTGAAGCCAATGTAATTCTCCTTGAAGTGATGCTTTGGTTCTTTCATGTTCAAACTTCAGTGATTTCATTTCCCAGCTATGTTCACCAACTCTTCCATTGATCATGTGCGTGACCTCTGCTTGTGTGTAGAGCTTGCAAACTGGAACTCCTTTAGAAAACTTTTCAGCGTGTTCTGGTAAACAGAAACAAGAGCGCTCCATCATTGAGGCTCTATTTAGCAATTTTCCCATATCTTCTTTGGAAACATGGATGATATCTCCATCTACTCCTCTAGCGAAACCATGCTCATCTCTGTAGATTCCATATCCGTCTTACTTTTCCCACAAGAATCGACGAATCCCGAATTTGAAAGCTCGTTTCCCAAATTCCCGACGTATATCGTTCGATGTG